ACACCCCCCATCCCATCCTTGTTCCTTGTTATGATATACCCCCCACCTACCTCGTATTCCGGCCGATAGCAACCCAATCCGGGACCTCCCATCCGGACTATAAGAAATCAATACAAAGTGGCCGTTTTTCTCCTCAACATCGTCTTTCTTGTCGTCGACGATGCGAAAAACGTGGCCGGAATGGGACGCGGCGCGCATCGCGCGCGGCAGTCAATCTGGGCCCGCCCATCCTGACTGTAAAAAATCAATGCAAAGTCTTCGTTTTTTCGTCTCAGCATGGCCTGCTTTGTCGCCGACGGCGTGAAATATGTGGCACCAGTGGGACGCGGCGCACATATGGGACGCGGCGCACATCGCGCGCGGTCGTCAATCCGGGCCCGCCCATCCTGACTGTAAAAAATCAATATAAAGTCTCCGCTTTTTCCTCTCAGAATGGCTTGCCTTGTCGCCGACGGTGCGAAATGTGTGGCAGGAATGGGACGCGGCGCGCATCGCGCGCGGACGTCCATGCGGGCTGCGGGCCTTCCCATCCTGACTGTAAAAAACAATGCAGAGTTGCTGTTTTTCCTTTCATCATGGCCTGTCTTGTCGTCGACAATGCGAAATGCGTGGCAGGAGTGGGGCGCGGCGCACATCGCGCGCGGACTTCTGGGGCAACCCCAAGGCGGGAGGGGCCGCCTTACTTGTCAGAAACAATGCCATGCTGATTTTCCCTGCCCACACAGCTGTTCTTGTCGTTCACCCCGCAAAAGTGCACGGCAAGAATTGGGCACGGCACACCCCCCTCCCCCCCCGCTCGAAGTGAATGAAATGTCCTTCCCGCTTGGGCGCCGAGCGAAATTTTCTCAAAGTTGCGCTCCCGCTCATGGGGCGCCAATTCATTGGGCGCCGGGGCGTTCCAGGAGGCCCTGGGGTGACGAATGCCTGGGAGGTTTTTGCTTGTTCAAGCTCTTGGAGGGCCTCCTGAGGCTCCCCGCGGTTTCTTGGAGGCGTCTTCGGCCGTCTGGAGGCCATCTTGGGCGTCTTGGAGCGAGCTTTCGGCGACTCAGGGCCCCTCGGATCGTCTCGGGGCGTCTCGGCTCTCCTGGGGCGTTCCTGGGGCGCTCTGGGACCTGGAAGTCAGCGCCGAAGAAGAAAACCATCGCTGGGACCGACGTGCCCAGGACCTGCTCGGGGTTCTTTTCGTCCGGGGGCCCCCAGGGGCCGCCGCGCGCTCAAACTAAAAGATTGTTAACTAGTTACCGGAGATCTTAGCACGCCTCTGGCCCGTTGGGCTGGCCCGGGACCTGCTCGGGGTACTTTTCGTCCGGGGGCCCCCAAGGGTCGCCCCGCGCGCGCGAACTAGAAGATTGTTAACTAGTTGCCGGAGATCTTTGCACGCCTCTGGCCCGTTGGGCCGGCGAATTTGTCCCAAGCCTTTCTGAGATCTCGACCCCTTTCTCGGGGGCAATTTTGCGTCCTGGATATTTTCTTATTGGTCTGGGGGGCCAAAAACCGTTCCCTGGAGGGCGAAGTCGAGGGAATAACGTGCGAAGTCGACGGAAAAACGCCAGCACGGAGAAAATCTGATCGTCGGGGATGTGGGCCCAAGAGCCGCGAGAGCTTCCGAGGAGCCTCGAAGCCCGAACCGGGAGGGCCCGTCGCGGCGGCACGGCGCCGGCGCCGTCCACAGGTCAAGGTCGGCGGCGCGCCGAGGGGGAGTGTTTCAGTGAGGTGCTCGAACTTTGCGCCTCGCGCATCGGTGTTCGAGTCTTTCTGGCCCTCGGGGTCCTCTAAGTCTCGGCTGGACGCGACTCGAAAAAATTGTGCGTTTGGACCCGGGAGGGGTCCGAAGGCTGCCTTCGGACCGGGTCTGGGTTTGGGGGTACGGCGAGGGGGAAGACAGCAGCCTGTCCGTTGCTTCGAGAATCGGTGTTCGAGGCTTTCGGGCCCTCGGTGTCCTCCGCTAAGTCACGGCTGGACGCGACTCGAAAAAGTTGTGCGTTTGGACCCGGGAGGAATCCGAAGGCTTCCTTCGGAACGGACTTGGGGGGTTTAGGGGTACGGCGAGCGGGGAGACAGCAGCCTGTCCGTTGTGCCATCACTGTTTCTTATGTTGTGGAGGGCGGGTGGGAATAGGCATCGCCATGATTGACTCGCTTGACCTGGCTAGCTTGACCCACCCCACACCCCCCTAAGCCCCGCCCACCCCCTCCAACACCTTACCCCCCGCACACCTCCCACCCCCCTTCTCCCCCCCAGCCCCCACCTCACCCCCTCACCATACACCCACTCCCCCAACCCCTCCCACCATCCCACCTTCTCACCCTCCCCCCCCGCCACCCCCCTCCCCCCCCCCCCCCCCCCCCACCCCCCCCCCCCCCCCACCCCCCCATCCCCCGCCCCCCTCCCCCAATCACCAACCCATTCCACCTCCCACCCACCCACACACCATACCCGCAGACCCTTGACCCCATGGCCCAGACCCCCCCCAGTCCCCCACCCCGTCTGCCCCCCTCCCTCTCCCTCCCCACCTACACACCCACCCGCACACACACACCCACACCGTCCTCCCTCTCCCCCCTCCCCCCCCCCCCCCACACACACACCCACACCAACACACAGTCACGCACTCACACCACACACGCAACCACACACACACCGCCCTTCACCCCCATGCACGCCCCCCACCCACACACACACAGACACAGACACACACACACACACATACACACACGCGAACACACACACACAAAACAAACTACACAGCACACAACACACATCACACAACACACAACGCACACCACACAACACACACACACACACGCCCAAACACACAGACGCACACACCCCCAGACCCAAACACCCACACACCCACACACTCCCACACCCACACACCCACACGCCCACACCCACCCCGACCCCCACCCCCATCCCCACCAACACACACACACACACACGCACGCACGCACGCACACACGCACGCACGCATACACATACACACATACACACATACACACGCACACACACACACCCGCACATACACGCATACACGCATACACACACTCACACGTACAGCACTACACCTATACACATGCACACATACATACACACATACATACATACGTGCATATAGACACACACACACACGGACACACGGTGATACACACAACGCCATACACAAACACCTTCACACATACACACATGCACACATCCATATACACATACACATGCACATACACACGCATACACATACACGCATACACACACCCATACACACATGCATGCACACTTACATATAAATGTATACCTACACACAATCATACATACACACATCCGTACATGCATACATACATACATACACAAATTCATTCATACATACATACATACATTCATACATACATACACACATGCATACATACATACATACATACGTACATGCATACATACATACATGTACACACATACATCTACACATAGGCACATACATACATACATACATACATACACAGACATACATACATACATACATACATACATACATACATCCACACACAAACACATACATACATACATACATACATACATACATACATACACACATTCATACACACGCATGCACACAAGAATACACACACGCACACACACCCACACACGCACACACGCACACACGCACACAAGCATACACGCACACACGCACACACACACACGCACACACGCACACACGCCCACACACACACACACGCACACACGCACACACACACACACGCGGCCGCACGGCCGCACGCCCGAACGCCCGAACGCCCACGCCCACGCCCACGTCCACGCCCACGCTCACGACCAGGGCCACGCCCATTCCCACGCCCACACCCACACACCCACCCACCCACCCACCCACGCACACACACATATACCCACACCCACCCACCCACCCACCCACCCACCACCCAAACCCAACACAACACACACCCACACACACAGACACATCCACACCCAAGCCCAAAAACCCCCCCACCCCCACAACACCACACTCCTTCACCCCCACACCCCCACGCGCCCACACCCCCACGCGCACACGCGCACACGAGCACACGCGCTATCGCGCACACGCGCACACGCGCACACGCACACTCACACGCACACGCATACCCACACCCACACACAGACACACAGACAGACACACACACAGACTCACACACACACACGCACACACACACACACACTCTTTCCCCTCCGACGCGTCGATGAACTTCCAGCCGAGGGATACCACGCATCGAGGCGAGTCACAATGAACTGGCCACCTTGTGTGGAGACGTGCACTCAGACGGGACACCTCCAGACACTCCACTGGCCACGCTGAAGCGAACCAGCGAGCAAATGAGATAGGCGGAGCCAAGATATCGGCACACATACAAAGTGAACGCGGCGTCATAACGAACGCGCAGGGGGGGACGGAGTGGATGGGGCAGCCCAGCCAACTCAATGCAGCGAACCAGGCCCGCTCACGACACGAAAGGGAAGAGACTCTTCCGAAAATGTCGACAAGGACCTCCTGCTCAGAAAGCAAAGCCGAGCAACTACCAGCGGGCCCACAAAAGGCCCCGCTTCGCTTGGCGCCGCCGAACTTGATTGCAATGTGGTTCGGAATCCACGCTTCCAACATGCCCTGAACTGACTCCAGCGGCCCGCCCTTGAACCGTCTTGGCGGACTCTGGATTCATCCTGGGGGCTCATAGGGTCGGCCCAAGAACACAACATCATTACATCGCTTCGCTTTGAACGGCTTCCACCGAGAAACTTCTGCACATGCCCTTACGGGGTCAGCGCGTCCTGAACTGATGCGACCACCCAGACCCCCAAGACGGCCCACGGGGGGCACACCAAGGTACCAGAGGGCCCCAAGTAGGGCCCAAGGGAGCGGGAGCCCGGAGCCCCGAGGGAGCCCCAAGGGCCCAAGGGAGCCCCAAGAAGGGCCCAAGGGAGCCCCCAGGAGCCCAAGACTCCCACGCGAACAACTAGGGACACGTTTAGCAACCCCCGACAGGTGGCAGAAGATGGGTTGCAAGTCGAGGGTACCGTGTGGCGGCCAATCTGTTGGGGGCGGGCTGAATCTGGCAGGCTGGTTCTTTCGACGCAGGCTGACACTTTCCAGCAACCTCGCCCCCTGCAAACGTCGGCGGCGCACCCAGGAGGCAAAGCGGAGGGGGCGGGCCTCGTCAAACTGCTCAGAAGGCCTCTGGCCTTCGCTCTCTGAGCCTTCCCCGAAGCCACGGAGGGCCTCTCAAACGGCCGGAGGGCTTCTGAGGAGCCCCGCCGCCTTCTGAGAAGGCCTGCCCCCTCCCGTTCCCCCCCATAGGCGCGCGGCCGAGAACGCCCCCTCCTCGAAGTCCGCGTGGCTGTCGCGGTCGAAGCCCACGAAGACAAAGTCCGTGGTGTAGCGCTTCTCTCGGGCACCGCCGCGTCGCCTCCTCGCCCCCACCGCCACGCGTGGCAGAGCTCACGCCCTGTGTGCGCCTCGCCTCCTCATCCTCATCGCCTCTCTCTCCTCCCGCCCTCGTCACCTCCATCCTCTGCTCCCTCCTCCTCCTCCTCCTCCTCATCCTGATTCCCCCTCCTGGCCTCCTCCTCCTCCTCCTCCTCCCCCTCCTCCTCCTCCTCCTCCTCCTCCACTTCGTCCCTACCGCCGCGTGTGGCAGAGCCGACGGCGGAGGAAAAGCGAACCACCCGGGTGCTGCCGAGACCGGCCGCACGCCGACACGGGCGCCGAGCCACGGAGCCGGCGCGCGGGCGCCAGCTCCACGGACTCGGGGGAGGCCTTCCCCCCCCGAGGCACGAGGCCGATGCCGCCCGATTCGGGGATGGACAGACCCCCCTTTAGTAAAACGTGGTTTAGTGAAAACGACCTGAGGCCAAAACCTGGCGGGCGCAAGCCTGGAAAATGACGGCCACGGCGCCCTCTCGAGAGCCGAAAACGGACAATTCACGAATCGACGTGTCACGGTTGGGGGTTCTGTCCACCCCCGACCGATCTGGCAGCGGATCGCGCCGACTCTGACTGGAAACAAGGGCAGCTCGCTCATCCGCGCGCCTGGATGCACGTTGACGCTTCCTCGACAGCGGCCCCCCTGGCCCAAGGTGTCCTACGTTGAGATCGACCCCAGAGCGCCCCGTTGCCAGGCCCCGAGGGCCCCGGGGGCTCCAGGATGAGCGAAAGGCTGAGGGCACCTAAGGACTGGGTCACTAGAGGTCTCTCAAACGGGGTCCGAATAGATGGGGTCAGAGGATCGCGCTGCACCACCGATGCCTCGCCGATGCATCAGAGCCGTCGGCGATGCATCGGCGCCGTCGGCGTGGAGAAAATCTGGCTCTACATCGAACCGCATCGCCGCTGCATGGGCCATGCGGCGCGATCCTTCGGCCCCACCTACTCTCTGACCCCATCTGGCAGGTCTGGAGCCGCCTCCCGCAGCCCCCGAGAGAGAAACATGAGGGGAGGTGGGAAGACACGACATCGGGCGGCGAAGACAATCAAATGCAAGCTTTACCCGGCACCGCCACGCTCCTCTTCAGTGGGCGTCGAAGAGGGGGAGGGGTTCAAGAGGGATGGCTCGAAGCACGTGTGCAGCCCAAGGGGAGCAAGGGATGTCTTGAAATTCGCCGGTCCAACGGGCCAGAGGCGTGCTAAGATCTCCGGCTACTGGTAAACAATATTTCTAATTCGCGCGCGCGGGGCGGCCCCTGGGGGTCCCCGGACGAAAAGTACCCCCGCTGGTACTACCTAGAGATAGGTTTTCCTTCTGGGCGCGGCTTTCAGGCGTCCCCGAGCGCTCCTAGAAGGCCACAAGAGTCCCCAAGACGGTCCAAGAGGGCTCCGAGTCGCCGACCGATCGGTCCAAGACGCCAAAAGAGGCCTCGAAGAAGCGTCTCAAGAGGGCTCCAGGAGGCAAAAACCATCGATGTCTCTTCCGTTTTAGACGGGCCCAAGGAGGCCCCACATATCACCCTGAGACGGCCCAAGAGGCGTCCAAGAGAGCCCCAAAAGGGCCCAAGAGGGCCCCAAGACGGCCCAAAAGGCCTCCAAGAGAGCCCTAAGAGGACCCAAGAAGGCCCCAAGACGGCCCAAGATATCCCCAGGACGGCCCCAAGAGGGGGCCAGACGGGGAACCTGAACGGACATTTCGAGCCCTCGGCCCCAAGAGGCTCCCAAGACGCCCAAAGAGGCCTCTAAGAAGCGTCTCATGAGGGCTCCAGGCTCCAGGAGGCAAAAACATCGATTCCCCAACGGTTTTCGAAGGATTTTGCCATTCTCATCTATTCGGCTTCCCGGCGCTCAAGACGGGCCCAAGAGGCCCCAAATATCGCCCCAAGAGGCCTCCAAGAGAGCCCCAAGAGGGCCCAAGAGGGCCCCAAGACGGCCCAAGAGGCCTCACATATCGCCCCAAGACGGCCCAAAATGCCTCCAAGAGAGCCCCAGGAGGGCCCAAGAAGGCCCCAAGACAGCCCAAGAGGCCTCCAAGACGGCCCAAGATATCCCCAGGACGGCCCCAAGAGGGGGCCAGACGGGGAACCTGAACGGACATTTCGAGCCCTCGGCCCCAAGAGGCTCCCAAGACGCCCAAGAGGCCTCTCAGAAGCGTCTCATGAGGGCTCCAGGAGGCAAAAACCATAGATTCCCCGTCTATGTTTGAAGGATTTTGCCGTTCTCATTTATTCGGCTTCCCGGCGCTCAAGACGGGCCCAAGAGGCTCCAAATATCGCCCCAAGACGGCCCAAGAGGCCTCGAAGAGAGCCCGAAGAGGGCCCCAAGACGGCCCAAGAGGGCCCACAGATCGCCCCAAGAGGCCTCCAAGAGAGCCCCAGGAGGGCCCAAGAGGGCCTCAAGACAGCCCAAGAGGCCTCCAAGACGGCCCAAGATATCCCCAGGACGGCCCCAAGAGGTATCCAGACGGGGAACCCGAACAGACATTTCGAGCTCTCGGCCCCAAGAGGCGCCCAGGAGGCCACAAAAATTCCGCACGAGCCCCCCAAGAGACTCCAAGAGACCCCCAAGAGGCCCCAAAAGAGGCTCCCAAGACTCCCAACATGCCCCCAGGAAGCCACAAGAGGCCCCCATGAAGCCCCCAAGAGGCTCCCCAGATGTTCCAGACCCCAAGAAACATCCATGAGGACTTTGACCCACAACCCAGGTACGCCTCGCAACTCTTTTGGGGCTCTCTGGAACCATCTTGTCGCCCTCTGGGGCAGTCTAACGGCTCCCTTCGACAGGGTGCGAGCCACACCTCAAAAAGATCTCTTCGGAGATCCTAACGCCCTCCCCCTGGGCACGAGCACGCGAAATGGGCCGGCGGAGTGAACGAAACGATTCAATAAGAAGAAGCGCCACCAAATCTGCCATGATACAATGCAAACGTATAGTAAGGACGCGTGGCAAGGACGCAAGACCCTTGGAGGCGCCCGCCCCAAGGGTACCCTGAGAAACTGGCCTGCGAAAATTGCGAGGGACGGGCCGCAGAGGCTGAGGCAGGCAAGGACCCAAGGGTACCCATGATAAATCAGGGACGGCAAAGAGGGGGGTGTCCAAGAGGGGGGGGTGCAAATCATGACCGGCGGCATGTGCGCGGCCCCGCGGGGGGGCCAGGGACGTAATGAAATAAGGAGAGGCGCCATGAGATCCTGGGAGATATCATGGCCCCCGCCATGATATCCACCCCCCCCTAGTCATCACCCCCCTCAAGTCGTTTGTCCTTACTATGCGCGTTGACTGTATCAACCTCCCAGCACAATCAGAATCGCCCTCTTGGCCGCCCTCTCCCCCGTGTTGCAACCCCCTGGGCGTGGAGAACAAAGCATCCCTTCTGGCTCACTTGGACCTTCCGCGCCCTTCCTCCCCCCCTCCGCCCCACTGAATCCGTTCAGGGCAGTATTTAATACATGGGAATTTTTAACTATGGGATCTTTAATACATGATTAATGTAGGAATAAATGCATGCATGAATTCATCGTTGTTTTTGATACTAAATCTCTGCATGTTTAATACATGATCCGCACGCGGAACATGTATTCAACACGGCGCTGTATCTAGTCAGGGCCGATTGCATAGGACACCCGGGACGAGACGAGCATTATCCGGACGGCAGTTTGCACTTCAGACGCGAAGGGCACACGGGACGCGACAGACAGGGCACACGAAAACCACCGATTTTGCAGGGTCGGTCTGCTGACCAGGCCCCACCATGTCTGAGAGGGCCCGGAAACGACATCTCAACGACCGCCAAACACGTCGGCCCCCCGAGGGGCCACACCCTTCTCCTCCTCTGCGCGCGCGCGATCGTGCGGCGGGAGGCAGCGATTGAACACGTTGCAGTCACACACGAGATGCAACCTGTGGTTGGGCTATGGCGTCGTGTGCCGCCTGTGCCATCTGGCGTCGGCCAAGATTCTGGTACCTGAACCCTGTGAGTTTGAGAGGGGGAGAGAAGGGAGGGAAAACGGGGAGAGAAGGGGAGGGGAGGGGACAGGCGGAGGAGGAAAGGGATGAGGATGAGAAGTGGGAAAGTGGGGATTGGAAGAAGGCGCAACAATTCGGGCGGGATGCTCGTCCGGGAGCGAGGGCTGCTAACGCCCGCCACGCCCACGTCTTGTGGCGGGAGGTGCCGCTTGAGAAACAAGGGTGGGGAAACGACCGTCCCCCTGTGGCGCGGTCTGGGACCCCCCCCCAGAAATCAAAAGCAGGAAGTGGTGATAAGGGCGACGCTCGTGCCTTCAGCACGCCCGCGGGCAGAGAGACGCCAGCTGTACACGTGCTTTGGCATGCGTGATACGGCGCCTGGGCAATGGCGGCGCCACTTTGGGCCCCCCCCCGCAGCGTCCTTATCAGAGGGCAACGGAAAGGGAGCCAGCTGCTCGCGGAGCCCACTGTGAGAGGATGGGCCCTGGGCGTGCCGCGCGTTGAACAGCAAGGAAAACCTGGAGGCAAACCTGGAAAAGCGCGTCGGGGGAAGCGGCAGGTCGGAAGGCCTGCTGGAAGCCGTCCCAGGCAATTTGTGCTCGGTCGACTTGTCCGGCAGAGGAGCGGATTGTTTCTGGATGTGCTGGAGAGATTGGGCCAGGCGGTTGGCTGACGACTGGCCGCTGAGAGGTGCTGCACGAGGGTTTATACACGGTCTGTTCGCTGGGTCCCCTCCACTTGGGGGACACCGCCGTTGCGGCTCCCCCCGTTTTTGCCCCCCTCCGATGGGACACCCACGCCCGTGCTCCGCTTGCGCTGGGCGCCGCCCTGCCCCTGGCTGTGATGCGTGCGCCGGCCTTGGAGCGGCTCGTGCTCTCGCCCCCCCCCTCCTTGCCCCTGCTCGGCCTGCGCCGCCCGGCTGCCCAGTGGCGCTCCGCCACTCTGCCGCCCGCCCCGCGCGGCTTTGCCGGCTCGCCTCTTGGCGACTGCCTCAGCGCCTGCTGCACCGCGCCGGCATGCTCAGCCCGCCGCTGCGCGCCTCAGCTGCCGCCTCCCTGCACCCCCCGCGTTGGCGCGCTGGTCCGCCTGCCACCCGCTGCTCCTGCCCACCCCGCTTGCTGGGCCTCGCCCGCACTGCGGCTGCTGGCCCCGCTCCTGGGTGCACCCGCGACGCCGCCCCGCGCCGCTGCCAGGGGTCGCCCTCCGGCGCCGCCGCGTTAGAGCGCCCTCCCTCCCACCCCCCCTTTTCGCGGCCGCCGTCAGCTGCCCCTCCATCCTCGTGCATGCGGGATAATTCGCAACTTCGAAGCCTGGCTGCGCTCAATGCGCGAGCGAATCGCCTCTGCCGCGCCGCGACGGAAAAAGGTTCGCTGGGTCCCCGGCGCGGCGAGCCCTGTTCCGACGACGGCCACTGGCCGTTCGCTGCTCCCCGTGCCCTGATCGGGGTAGGGGCTGGCCCGGTGGTTGAGGGGGCTGGTGGTGACCGCCTGCTCCTGCCGACCGTGGGCGGCTTGTGCCTTGCCGTCGGAGGGTCTTGAGGGATGAATATCGTTACCTTCGTCTTCGTTCAGAGAGGCGCCAAGCCCGAGCGGGGCGTCTTCCTCGCCGTCGAAGTCGACAAAGATGCCCGCCCATGGATCATCGAGGAGATCAGAGAAGTCTGGCCCTGGCGGGCCGTGGAGATGATCAGGGCTGCCTTGTGAGCCTGGTGACTCGTGGACGCCTTGGCCAATGTTGAAACGGTTGGGCTTCATCTTGCTGAGTTCGGCCCCTGAGTCGCCCGCCCTTCTGTCTGGCAGGGAAAGCGTCTGGCGACGCGGACCATCAAAAGCGACAGCCATGCTGCGAAAGACAGCCGCGGCTCTACGTCGCAATGCAGTCGCGTCGATGAGGCCTTGCGGTGCGCTGTGCAGGCGTGCGCCGGCCGTGGCAAGTTCACCAGCGTGGCGGTTGGAAGCCTCCGCAATTGGCGAGGTGCGCCCCTGGCTGATGCATTTTCACCCAGGTCTCGGTGCTTCCTTGGATAAGACTGTGTCAATGGAAAATCAAGTCAGCGCGGTCATGCAAAAAACCTACTACCATCTACGGCTCTGGACTTTGAACCCGTCTGGTTTGACCTGGAGGACACGGTGGATCTGTGGCCAAAGGTCGGCCTCTGCGCCCGCGCCTTGTGGTGGTTGACCGCTGAGGAGGTCCTCGTATCCGTCAGCACCTTAATTGTCAGTGGCAATGTGCGCGGGTCTTTCAGCCGTGGCGATGAGATGCAGCATGGCTCGAGTCTCGGCTCTCTGAGCTAACTTCACCAGACCGTGTACGCGAGCTGAATGGTTTAGCCGGTGATCTGGGCAGTTGTAAGCAGCGGAACCAGCCCCGGCGAAGAGCGGGTGGGACTGGCGCGGGCAATCCCCGTCAGTGGCTGCGTGCGCCCATCGGGCCCCAGCATCGTCAGTGTACTATGGTGTCGTCGTCGGGGACCTCCAGCGACGGCTGCGGGATGGGCTGTGGGAGCTCGTCCTCGGCAGTGGCAGCTTGGAGATCGAGGAGCTGGGGATATTCTGGAAGGAGGCAGCAGCGTCTAGCGTGCGGCGGCAGGTCGTGGAATTGTGGCTCGGCGGTCATGGTTTTTAGAGCAATCCTCTCGGATTCCCAGCAAGGGCATTTCCAGACGGCGTGTTCCCGGCTTTCTTTTTCTTGGTTGCAGGCCTTGATGTTTCTCTGCTGGGTGTGGTCACCCCTGCAAAGGTAGCTGCAGAGTTGACCGATCTGCCCAGTTCTACATTTGGCCTTGGCGCTCGCTCTGGGTAGCCCCGGATTGGTAGAGTAACTGAGACCTTGTTTGACAGCCGCGCGGGGGGAGGAGGGAGGGGGGTGGAAGAGGAGAGGGAGGAGGACGAGGAGAAGGGAGAAGGGAGGAGGGAGGAGGGAGGAGGGAGGAGGGAGGAGGGAGGAGGGAGGAGGAGGAGGAGGAGGAGGAGGAGGAGGAGGAGGAGGAGGAGGAGAAGAGAGCAGAGGGGCTCAGGGACGGGAGGAGGAGGAGGCACAGAGCGGAGCGATCCCTCGAACGACCCCCTGCGACTGCTCTGAACCACCCTTGCCTGCGCACGCCCCGTCCCCTCCGCAGGCTGGCGCTGCAAGCGCCAAGGCCACCTGCGGGGAGAGCGCTCTCCGGCCACCCGCGCCAGGGAGCCGAGAAAGCTCGGCCCCAGCTCGGGCTGCCGGCGAACTGCTGCGGTGGGGGGTCAAGAAACGGCATGCGGCCAGACCTAGGGCAACGTGAGATCCTTCAAGATCATGAGACCCTCGGTCGGCCAAAGCACAGAGCATCGAAAGGTACCCTCCCCAGGATGCACAAATAAACACCCAACAGGCACCGAGAACAGCGGGGTACCCTCTCCGAACTGGCCTCGATCTTATTCCCCGGTACGACCGTAAGCAGAAGCTTATGGCGCTCCCCGCGGAGCTCCATAAGGTTACATCTGTTTATGCAACTTGAAATGATTCGATCCTCGCGCAGTGAAGAAGAAAACGACGGAGCATGCTTGGCCCTTATCGGCCTCAGGGGGTCCTCGCTGGACCCGTGGGCAAAAAAACTACTCAGGATGAGACGCTGGTCCCTTGGAAGTGGTCCAGACCCCTGGGGTTCAAGGTGTGATAAAACAGCGACGCGGGAGGCTGTGCCCCTCTCCTCCCCCCCCTTCTCCCTCTGGAGCCTCCCTTCCTTCCCCTCCCCTCCCCCTCCCCCTCCCCCTTTCCCTCCCCGTCCTCCTCCTCCTCCTCCTCCTCAACAATTACACAATATGAATATTACTTTCCTCTCCTCTGATGACGTCTGGAAGATATCCGGGCCCCTCTCCGCGTACCATTTTTGTACACGAGATTCCTGGGTAACGAGTTTTCACTGGGGTTTATTTCAAAATGTTCATCCCGCTGAAGCTCTGGCATCACTTTCGGGCTTCCGCTCGTTCCGAAACGTGCTCCCGCTGCAGCGCAGGCCTCATTTCAATGCTTCCGCTCGTTCCGAATCTTGCTCCCGCTGCAGCGCTGGCCTTCCTTCCAAATAGGCCCCAAACTTTAGAAAAATGCCCCCCCCCGGAAAAAAATCGGAAATGGTTCAGCATTCGGTGTCGATTCGTTGATTTCTGGGGCCGCAGAAGCCCCTGGCGCCGCCGCTTTCGGGAAGTATCATGCGGGAGCCCCGTCTCTGCTTTGAGAAGGCGATGTTGGAATCAGAGCCAGCGGGTGCTCTTCATCATCCCCGCCTTGCGTGGAACTTTTTCGGGGAGCCCAAAGAACTAGACATGGAGCCTCGACTCCAGACCGGCCCAGACCTTTCGAAGACGATCCACTTACCCTCCAAAGCACCTGGCACCATGCCATGACATGTTGTGCGGTGTTGTGTTCTTTGCCGCTGTGCGATGCCATGCTTTGCGTTACAATGCTTTGTAATGCAGTGCTGCACTGCGCAATGCCACGCCATGCTATGGCATGCTGCACTTTGTCGTGCTCTTCTACGCCATGCAGAGCCGTGCCCTACCATGCATCGCGTACCATCTCGCGATCATTGCGCTGCTCGACATCCGACTGTGCGGATAGAGAGGAGATCTACGCCACGGTAAGGGATGGGAGGGAGGGGCAGGACGCCAGATATGACGCGAGCGCACCTGGCTCGTCCTCCCCTCCTCTCCCGTCCCCCCCCTCCTCCTACCCCCCCGCCCTCACACCCCCTCCCTTACTCGCCCTGCCCCTAATCACCTCCTCCTCCTCCGTCTTGGCAAAATAGGGGCAATGATCCCTGTCAATCGATGGCCGGATTCCCATCCCTGCGTATTTTCCGAGAGGCTAGTTGTGTTGCAAGAAGCGAGTCCACTCAGTCCACGTGCAAAACGACCACCCCAGTGCTGAGCTGGGTCGAATCGCGAGTTCGGATCGGACCAGACATGCTTCGGATCGTGAACGAATCGTCACGAGTCGAATCGAAATCGGACCGCCGCGCCTGGCTGTGGCTGGCACCGACCAATCAGGGCGAACATGGTGTCATAATAGGATTGACTCAGGATGCGTTCCAAGATTTCCAAAGCATCTGGCAGCCCTCGTTTCTGCAACCCGTGTGGAACATGAGGAAATCTGAAACATCCGGGACAACGCGGAACGTATCATTATAATGACCTTTCCCTCCTCGGACCAATGCCAATGAATCGGACCAGATCGAATCGGAATCGCGGCCCCAGCCATCGAGTCGAATCGCAACGAATCGGATCGTATCTGCAGGCGGCCCTGCCGCCCCCCCGACCCGTAACCCCGCGCCCCAGCGCTGGCCCCCCTGACGGGCGGCATAACGACCAGGGCGGTACCGGCAAGACGCCGACGCAACGACCCCGGCAGACCCGCGGCACGGGCCAGGTTGGGGTGCCATGTGGGACCTGCTGTAGAACAGGAATATTTGGGAGTCCCGAAACAGTGCGGTGACAGACCGTGCGGTGACCTCGAAATCCCCCAAGACCTCACCGCACGGTCCGTCACCGCACGGTCTTGGGACCTCGGATGCCCCTGTAGCCCGAAAACGTCCTCGGAGAACGACCCGAGTCCCAAAACCGTGCGGTGACCCCGAATCCCCACCGACTCACAGCACGGTGTGGTCACCACCCCGTTTGGGGGCCCCCGAAACATGTCGTAGACGGCTCTGCCCTTTCTCCGACCTTGTACTGCGCCGAACGCAACGGCCGCACGGTCTATAGGCGCATTCACCCCGAATGCCTCTAGACATGCGTAACGGCACTGGTGTCTGCAGGACATTGCGGCTCGCAGATTACAGTTAGCATATGCTCCAGACATTGAAAAGCAGGTCAACTCTCCCGGGCTCGGCGCCGCAGCCTCCTGCCAGCCGACGAGCAGACGGAGGAGACCATGCCTGGCGGAGGAGACGAGGCTATCCAGTATATAGAGAAGAGGAGACAGGAGGGCAGGATCAGTCAGCACTGAGGGGGAACGAGCAGGCGGGCCTGGCCCAGGGAGGACTTATTGGCTGGACCTCGGCGACATCTAGCCGATATGGATCGGCGCTAGGCCCTCGCTGGCGCGAAACCGCGCGCTCTCCTGGGCGCGTGGTGGCACCTGGGCCCCTGTCGGCGATGACTGAAGGGGCCCCAGGACACACAAATAAATACACACAAATAAACATATTCTCCATATTTTCCCATATTTTCTGGGTTTTTGTCTTCCCCCCCACTTCCCATATTTTCCCATATTTCCTGGGGAATCGACGATTAATTGTGTCTGTGTGTTTCTTTCCCTCCTGAATGACTGGGTGATTGGGGATCGATGTTTCCCACCCTGGGCCAGTCCCCCGCTGGCTGCCCTCCAGTCGTATCGCATCGGGAAGTCGGATCGGATCGGAACGCGCGCCGGATCGGCCCGCATCGGCACAACATCGGAATCGAATTGGATCGGTCGCGCCAGGATGCACGACGGCGCCATGCAAACACCGGGACGCATCGGCCCCCGTCGGAGGATCGAAATCGGATCGGCCTGGCCGAAATCGACACCGAATCGAATCGGTCGTATCGAAGTGGGCCTGGGATGAGCGGAATACCCTCTAGCGTCCGACACGAGGGATCCTCGTTGTCCCCAGAACGCTCTCGGATCCTCGCAGCCGCTGGAGAGCATCCCGAGGCTGGTAAACCACAGAGAACCTAAGATGACGCCCGAACACGTCAGGCCTCGTCCGAACAAAAACCGTTCGAAGACGCCGAAGTCCGAGAACCGACGGAACGCCGGAGAGCGCCTCCGACCGCCGAGAGCCGAGAAAGACGCCCGACAGATCCGGAAGCGACGAGCCCGCCGAGAACCGACGGGAACCTAAAACAGGGCTAGGATCGGGATAAATCGATCCAGAGCGTTCCGGAGCGCTCTCAGAGCGTTCCGGAACGCTCTGGAGCGGCCGCGGCGCCCAATACATCCTCCAAACCCGCCGATTCTCAGAGATTTTGAGTTATCCCGATCCGATTTTGTCCCGATCTTCGCGTCGTTTTAGAACCTACGACCTCCCCCGAGGGGCCTCCGCGTGCGGAGCTGACGCCGGTCCTCCGCGGGGGGGCCGCGAGAGGCAGCCAAGCTCGTGGGCGGCGGCCGGCCACCGTCGGGCGACCCCGGCCGGCTCGTGGGGGAGTCGCCGCCGTCCGTGCCCGCGGCGGGCGGGTGCCAGCCGCCGTCCTGAGAGCCGGGGAGCCGGAAGGGCCCTCGGCTGAGGAGGGGAGGAGGATGCGCAGGAGGAGGAGGAGCAGGATGAGGAGGAGGAGGAGGGGGAGGAGGAGGAGGAGGAGGAGGAGGAGGAGGAGGAGGAGGAGGAGCAGTGTAAACCCAGGACGGATCAACGATGTTGCAATCCACCCTCCCTCCGACTTCCCTCTGCACAGGGCACTGCGAGAATGCATCTGCTGTGCGGGAAATGCCCCAATGGAAGAGAACCGTCTGAGAAGCCTCAATCGTGCGAAAACGTAATGCCAGGGACTTCAACTTCGCGAATCACTGTTGCGTTTTGGCAGTCCTAAGCCGTGCCAGGACGCCATTCCTGGGACTTTGACACCAAGAATCAACGTGATTATTGCGGCCTGAGAATCCAACATCTTACCAGAGCATCATTCCTGAGACTTCGACCATGCGAACCCTTGAACGTGTTGCAAGCTAAGGCGATAAACACATTTTGAAGAAGAACCGCCCTTCATCCAGGGAACTGTTACGAACTTTTGAAATTAATGTGCGCGGCGCTACAACGAGAACAACATTTTGAACGCCCGCCCTCCATCCGTGAAGCTGTCGCAACCGCTTCAGACGAACGTGGGCGGCGCTAAGGCGAAAACCACACTTTGAAATCGGCCCACCCTCCATACGTGAAGCTGCTGCAAACTTCAAAAGTCTTAGGCGGAACGCCCAGCCCACCCTACTGGCACGTCTGGGGGGGGGGGGACAGGGAGGAGTTACTTATGAGGAAAAGCGGTGGAGCCAGGGGACTAAACGAAGAGCCTGGTGGCCACAGCCCCCGACCTTGCGGGACTTTTTCCCGTTGGGCAGAAAGCTTTTGGCGCCCAGATTGGGGGACACACTGCGGGGAGGGCGCTCGTCCTCGATAGTGGCGCGCCCGAGTAGCCCCCGCGGGGCTGCATCCCGAGCTTCCTTCCCTCTGGGGCAGCGGTGGCTGGGGGGCACTGGCCCAGGAGGGGAGAACGTCGAGCTGGAATCGGCAATGATATGTTTATATTTACATATGGATCAGAGTGGGGCTGAACCGAACGGTCATTCACTGTCCACGATGCGGATTTTCGTTGTTGTTGATGTTGTTGTTGTAAATGTTGTTGCTTGTTTGTTTGTTTGTTGTGTGTTGTGTGTTGTGTGCTGTGTGTGGTTTGTTGTTTGTCGTTGTCGTCGTCCCACCCGCGACCCGCCCCGCGACCCACCCGCGACCCACCCCGCGACCCACCCGCGACCCACCCGCGACCCACCCCGCGACCCACACCACGACCCAACCCGCGACCCACCCACGACCCACCCGCGACCCACCCGGCGACCCGCCCGCGACCCACCCCGCGACCCATCCGCCAGACCCGCCCGCGACCCACCCGCCACCCACCCTGCGACCCACCCGCGACCCACCCGCGACCCACCCGCGACTCACCGCGACCCACCCGCGACCCACCCGCCAACCCGACCCCGCGACCCACCCGCGACCCACCCGCGACCCACCCCGCGACGCACCCAAAATTTTCGGCGCCTGCGGCGGGCTTCTTTTGAATTCGCCCCAAGTGGAGAACCTGCGACCCACCCGCGGCCCAAATCGCGTTCATTGTACAAATCAAAATGTTCAGCGCCTGCGGCGAGCTGTTTTTGAATTCCCTCCAGGTGGAGGTGGAAGACCCGCGACCCACCCGCGACCCACCACCGACATTGTTTTCACTAAAAAATCGGCGCCTGCGGCGGGCTCGTTGTATAACTTGAAAATGTTGCGCCTGCGGCGGACTTCTTCAGAACCTCGCAGACTACAGTCGTCCCCGCTGCGTCCCCTCACTTTTATGCGCACCTGCGGCGTGCTACGTAATGTATCGCCGTGTCGATCGGCGAGAGGTCGTAGTAGTAGTAGTAGTAGTAAGTAGTAGTAGTAAGTAGTAGTAGTAAGTAGTAGTAGTAAGTAGTAGTAGTAAGTAGTAGTAGTAAGTAGTAGTAGTAATTAGTAGTAGTAAGTAGTAGTAGTAAGTAGTAGTAGTAAGTAGTAGTAGTAAGTAGTAGTAAGTAGTAGTAGTAGTAAGTAGTAGTAGTAAGTAGTAGTAGTAAGTAGTAGTACGTAGTAGTAGTAGTAGTAGTAGTAGTAGTAGTAGTAGTAGTAGCAGTAGTAGTAGTAGTAGTAGTGGTAGTAGTAGTAGTAGTAGTAGAAATAGTAGTAGCAGTAGTAGTA